TGTGCTGGTGCGTGGAAAATGGCGCGCCCAATCGGGTGAGCTATCAGCTCGATCGAGCGCAACAGTTTAGCAGGGTACTTGGAGAAAAAGGCATGCCCGATCAGGCAACCTTTAGCCCGATCGGGCGCGTGTTTCTGGAGCAGCTCCTTAGACAAGCAGTTAATTTCTAATTAGGGGTTGTTTAGAGTTTTGTTTAAGTACGTTTGAGGATTATTATTTTCACTTATCTCTTTTCTTAGACTTCTCTCAACTTTTACTCTTCTTCTTAACTCAACTTTGTAGTTCCGTCGTTTTCGGTAACGATTTCTTCTTTATTAATTTCGGAAATTTTATTTCTTTATTCTATCATGTCTTCTTTTATTGCTTTGATTAGTTTAGATTTAATTATGCGTGAGTAGATTTCTTTCTAGGGTTTATGGGTATCCATAAATAATATGAATGGGTAAATTATTGTTGTTAATTGTCAATGCTAGATTAATTTCGAATTGATTGATTTAATGCTCTGTGACTAGAGTTGCGCAGATCTTTTATGCATGAGTTTGACAATATTAATTCGAGATTCGAGAGATGAGAATTGATGTTTAGGTCTAGTTTCAATAGGCAGGTTAATTTATAAATGGTTAAGTCGAGATTCGAAAGATGAGATTTAATACCGGTAAATTAATTGTGTGATTATAATACGTAGCGAAAGCCCTTTATGATCTAATTGTTGTATGCATTGATGAATGATTATTATATTCTACCCTGGAATATTATTTATTAGTGAACCTACGCCCTAGATCCTTTTATTCATTGTTTTCTCTTTACTCTTAATCTCCGTAGTTTTGTTTCCTTTGATTATAATATATTGGTGATTTGGTAATTTAGATTACATTAATTAATTAGGAATAAAAAGAGTTGTTTCTTGTGGATTCGACCATACTTCCCTATCTATATTAGTTAGAGGATTTAGGAATTACTTTTGATTAGGTGATACGACTTTAGCCTTTCAATGGGCCATTCACTAATTGTAAAATGGATGAGTGGAATGTATATTCTCCCACTGGTTTTGTAAAAATGGCAACTAGTAGGGCCCGATTAGGATAAAAAGTACGGACTGCGTTCCGTCATGTATTTTTGTAAATTTAAATGCGGTATGCGAACCATTGAGTATTTTTGTACCTTAATATTTAGATTAGTCCTAATAGGAGAAATTAGTATTTGCATTACTTTTGTTATGTCTTGAAGACGGAGGTTCTTGGAAGACGAAGCCATAAAGTTGTAAATGACGACCCTGAAAGACTCAAGGGGTCATGCTAGTTGTCAAATGCATCATTTATTTATATTTTTAATATATGTTTATGATTATATATATGAATTATATGTTAGATGCATGTTTAGGAATTCAAATGTTGCGATGATTAATTAAGTTCACTTACATCAATCAACATAGAAACCTAGGTCCCTAAAATATTTAGTAAAATTTGTCATTCCAAAACAACATTTACCAACCTATTAAGAGTTGTGATGGGCTACGCTAAAGTGAGGCATCACTTATTCTCCCTAGGATATGTATGGCATACCGGGTATGTATGTTTCTTTTGGTTATACTCAACGATATGAGTAATGGATACCTTACATGCTATGGCAAAGTGGATAAGTTGTTGATAAAGCATTAGATGCGACGATTTATCTAACCAGGAATGGCATGGAGCCATTAGCAAAGATTTTCTTACCTTAGAATATTGAGTGTTAAGACAATCCAAAGCATGCTTAACTACTCATTGATTCTTTGGATCTTGAAATCGACTTATTCTCACCAAATGGGGACAAGTTAATGTGTGAATAAGGCATTTAATTAAGTTTGATTATATGCATGATTTCAATCTTATTTATTATGAATAGTTTTTCATTTCAAATTCTTTTAATTGTAGAATAGTGTCTGTAAGTAACTTAAACAACAAATTCTTGTTGCGCTAAATTCTCGACAAGGAGAAATTAAGTGGGCCAAATTTTCTTTATTAGAAAAGGAACTTGCGTATAGTTCTCATGCAAGAGAAAAAGGAATATGTCCTTGATGAGGAAATGCCCGAGACTCCCAATGAGGAGGTGATTAGAGCTGCCCTAAACCGATGGCGAATTGACAATCGAGATGTCAATGAATCATGTTAGCAACAATGTCTCCCGACAATCAAAAGACTTACTGTGAGAAGAAGATAACTTTTGAGATCATTTCTGAGCTGCAGAACATGTTCCAAGAGAAAGCTCAAGAAAGGAGAGTCGGTTAGCCCACATGTACTCAAAATGATAGGATTATTTGAGAACATGGAAAGGCTTGATGTGGGGTATTCAACCGAGATGACAATTCACATCAATCTCCACTCGCTGCACAAAGGCTATAATTAGTTCAAGATGAACTATAACATGTTTAGGATGGAGAAAAACCTCACCGAGCTTCATGGTATGTTGATGAAAGCCGAGAAAATGTTCAACGATAAGGGGAAGCATGACATGCTCATGATCAAGAAGGGCAAGTCGTTCAAACACTCAATCAAGAAGAAGAAAGGCTTTAAAGGGAAGGGTAAGAAGACCTTTTCGCCTTAGTCAACATCTACTAAGGATAGCAAGGACAAGAAGGTAGCATCTTCTAAATATGATTTCGAGTACTTCTATTACAAGATGAAGGCACATTGGAAGAGAGATTTCCTCAAATTCAAGGAAGATAAGAAGAACGGAACCGTTGCTTTTAGATCATGTACATTCGTTATAAACTTAAGCTTCACTAGCTCAGCATCGTGGGTATTAGATACCGGATGTGGCTCACACCTTTGTTTCAATTTTCAAGGACAAAGGAACACTAGGAAGCTAGCGAAGGGAGAAGTTGAACTCCAGGTCGGCAATGGAGCCAGAATTGCATCCGTATCCGTAGGAACTCTTAGTTTGTATTTGCACTCGGGGCTACTTTTGGAATTTGAAACTGTTATTATGTTTCCATCATTACCAAAAACATTATTTTAATTTTGGCATTGGACGCCAAAAGTTTTGAATTCCGAGTAAAGGATAATGAATGTTCGTTTTATCTCGATAATGTTTTATATGGTATTGCACGTTATGAAAATTATCTTTATGTGCTTTCATTAGACAAACAAGTTTATAATGTTTATAATACTACCAAGAAATCTAAGACCATTAAGTCAAATCAGACGTACTTGTGGCATTGTCGTCTTGGCCACATTAACATCAAATGCATCAAGAAACTTGTATACGAAGGTGTTCTTGACTCATTCGATTTACAATCGTTTGAGATTGCGAAGGATGTTTATTAGGCAAGATGATAAAGCAACAATTCTCCAAATTGGGAGAAAGGGAAGGTGACTTGTTTAGCCTAATACACACCGATGAATGTGGACCAATGAGCTCTACCACAAGAAACAACCATTGATATTTTATCACCTTCATAGACGACTATAGTAGATATGGATATGTCTACCTTATGTCGCACAAATCTGAATCATTTGAAAAGTTCAAAGAATTTCAGAGTGAAGTTAAAAATCAGCTTGGCAAGAAAATAAAATCCCTTCGATCAGATCAAGGTGGTGAATACTTGAGCCAAGAATTTGATGATCATCTTAAAGAAGAGGGTATACTTTCAAAATTGACACCTCCAGGAACTCCACAATGGAACATAGTATCCGAAAGGAGAAATCGAACCTTGCTGGACATGGTACGATCAACAATATGTATTAGTGATCTTCCTATCTCTTTCTTGGGACACACACTTCTAACCACAGCGCTAACACTAAACCGAGCTCCATCAAAAACTGTAGAAAAGACTTCATACAAGGTATGGACGAAGAAACCTCCTAGGTTGTCTTTTCTAAATATATGGGGATGCGAAGCATATGTCATGAAATTAATTTCTGACAAACTTCACCCCAAATCTGACAAGGTTTTCATTGTGGGCTACCCAAAAGAAACCAAAGGGTATAAATTCTACAATAAATCCGAGAAGAAAGTGTTTGTTGCTTAAGATAGTGTCTTTTTGGAGAAGGAACACCATTCTAAAATGACAAGTGGGAGGAAAATCAAACTCGATGAAATTCAAGAGGACGAGCATCAAAATTAGATTGACAGTCAAAGTGCTCAAATAGCATTTGTTGACGCTGGTGAAAATGTGCAAAATTAAACCGACAATGCAAATGTTTAGACCGTTACCCTGCGTAGGTCGTAGAGGCTAAGGTCTCAACCTGAAAGGTGTCTTGGTATTGTATTAACCGAGAATCAGGACATCCTAGTAATGCAGGGAGACGAATCGGCAACCTAGAAGCAAGCGATGGCCAGCACTGACTCTTCTAAATGGCTTCCATGTTTGAAAATCAAGTCTGGGACTAGGTTGGCTTACCCGAGGGTTACCCACCTATTAAATGTAAGTGGATTTTCAAAGTGAAAACTGATGGGTCACTACTACAAATCCCTTGCTTTTTGGACGCTATTGGTTCGACGCTGTGTATGGGGTGTCAACGGAAAAATAAATTTCCGCTTTTTTCGACGCTTTTATGTGTCGAATCAATTTCTTGGCATTAAAAAGCGTTGATAACTTCGTATGGTTTGCACGTGACACAAGTATTAGAAACCGCCTTATATCCACGAGTATACCCATAGTCCCACACGCATAACACACATACAATCTCTCTCTCTCTCTCTCAGATCTCGACACTTCAACACAAATTAACCCTAATTGTTATTTTTTCCTTCATTTTTATACGATCTCAGTTCATCTGTTGATCAAATCGCTGCGGATTAAATGGAAGCCATGATATAATTTCCTTCCTCTCCTTGTTAATTTCTTCAATTTAAGGTAATTTCATTCTTCTCCTCATCACTTTCCAGGATTTTGTGCTAAAATACCGTTCTGATTTAATTTGTTATATTTGATTGTTGTGAAATAGCATTGAATTTCTTGATAATCTATTCAATATTTTCATCCACTGAAACAAATTTCTCCTTTTCACATTCCATTTCCCATAAACTCCAATTTCGCTGGTTTTTGTTCAACTCCATCTATGTCACCTTCGTCATCGCCGGTGCTTTCGTTGGTGAACGGGTACGCTTTCTTCGACATTCTTTGATTTCAAATTTCTTTCCTGGTTTTCTATTCTGATTTGATTTGTTGTTCTTCCATGTTTGTGCTTTGTAATTGTTGCGGTTTTTTTTTTATTTGTAATTTGTAATTTAGTTTGATGATTTGTGAGTTTTGGATCTGATTTAACTAATTGTATAATGATGTGAGGATCAATTTTGATATTTGCAAAAATTCCTCAACTCTACCATAGGAGGTATATTAATTAAGGATTAGGGTAAAGCGGATATACAATATCTAAGGTATTAAGTTAGCCAATAACTTTATCTTATAATTAGGAATTACCCTCTACGATCAGGTGTCAAGAAAAGAAGGGATTTGTAAAACTCCTGTACACCGTATTATCTTTCTAGGATTTAAATCTCGATATTTAAAATCCTTTAGTTGGAGGATTTGTTGGAATATTCAAAATTTAGAAAGTACTTAATTAGTCCATGAAGCAATATAAGGTCAAACAGTAAGTTTAATGGTTTAGGCACAAAGCACCAAAGAGCATTTTTCCAGTTCTGTTGTGCCAATTTGTCAAACACTCAAACTGCTTTCGTTGAGTATTTGCCTTTTGGTTGGAAGATAAGATAATATACAAATGATGTTGATGTTGTTAGTCAGCAACTCATCTGATTATGCCTTTCTAGTTTGGTGTTTGATTGATATGGACTGTCAATACATAACTTGTTTCTAACGCTAAAGAGTATGCAGTAAATGGATGCAGAAAGTTTTTTCCGAGTGATAAAAATGGAGCTGATCTTATCCTTGTTTGCATTGTATGTGGTTGCCACCGTGACTTGTGTTTCCATGTTACATTATATGTAGAATGCAATGAGAGGTGACTACAATTTATATGATGCGTATTTGGTGTAAAATGGGGGTTATTTTGTCCATTTTCTAAAATAAGCATTATACTTATGTTGCTAAGACTCGGATATGAGTGTCTAGCCTAACTGAAGTTTCAGGTGTAAAGCTGCAAACTTCCATCACTTATTCCCCTAGTTCCCTTTCTCCATTAAAAAGAAATGTATTCTTTGCACATTGTTTAATTCATTGCAGTTTTCATGCATTGTGATTTTGATTTCTCCAAACTTCTTTATATGCTTCTGCATAATCTACTATCAATGACGCTGACTTGATGAGTTTCTTGCATATTGTGAACCAGATGAACACCAGAGCCATACTACTGTCGTCGCATCTAGAGATATTTAAGTTCTACGGTAGGAAACGTTTTGATTTTGAAGCATAAGTGTCTTAGTCCTGTTTTAACATTTCATTATGGTGCTAAAATTTTCTACTTTCAGCTTACTCTAGTTTAGTTTTGAGTTATTTTAATGAATACTACGTCACTTTAATTGTCTTGGATGATGATATACTTTGTTAAAATGTTCTTTTTTTTAGTACCCTGAGCGTTCCAAAATAACTCAAAATCGACATAATGTTTCTAACATCATCACTTTTTGATGTTTCTACAATTCAAGGTTGATCTCCAACATAGCATAGCTATTTGCCTAGTGCTTTAAAAGGTGAATCCTTCAGTCCTTCCCGATAAGGTAACTTGTAATCGGCTGGTTAGACCTTTAGTTAATTTTTTTTTTAATTAATGTGCAGCTGGTGAATTGACGGAGGCTTCCTCTTTACAGGAATTATAATAGTGAATTCATTAAACCATTTTTAAGTTTTGTCCTTAGCCTTGATGTTATTCATCTAAGTTTACTTGAACTGAGATATTTTGCTTATAATTTGTAGTAATATTGTGTTGTAATAATTAAAATTATGCATTTTGTCTCTCTAGCTGTTTTTTCCCTTGTATTTTATATTTTGAAGTTACTTTTTGTATACTAATGATTTTATGACATAGCTTAAGCTATATCAGAGAGAAATAGAAATGAATTATGTGGATATCTATCTGAATGGAATATCCCATATATTGTCATGGTAATGCATCTCCATTGTTCAACTAGATTTTTTCCATAAATATTTCTCACCATCCTTTGTTTCTTCTAAACATCAATATCATCAAAATTAGAACAATAAGTTGTATAAATATTGTTGTTGTTGCTGCAGGATTCTGACCACACGGTTGTGTTGACCACAATATCAGTGCTGTTTTTAATCCACGATGTTGTTGTTGCCTTTCTCCCCAAGATAAACTGAACAACTAGTTCTTGCTTTAGGATTCAGAAACATCAGAGGGTTTGCGATGAATTCAAGGCTAACAATGAGTTATTGGTCGACACTTTGTTTTACGCCCTTTTGCAAGCACATTAAGTAGCAGCTAAATTAGAGATAGGTTGCAATTTTTTTGTAAAGAAATGAGCATATTTGTTCCACTACCACTAGTCACGAATAAAGTGTAACTTTGAAATATAGCGGTTGTATTTCTCATTTCTATGAGATAATTTAATTGTACATATACTATAATATATTTATATATGCAATAAAAAAAAACTGCCATAAATTTTCTTTCTCTATTTTATTGGTAATACTAGATTACTAGTACACTTATAATAATAATATACGTGTGAAATAAGAATTTGGACAAGAAAAAGCGTCTCCAACAAAGAAAATATAGACAGAAAAAGCATCTTCAAAATATTAAAATCAGATGTATGAAAATATGGACAAAATAAAGCGTCGCCAATTTAATGATTCTGGCACAAAAAAGCGTCGCTAAAAAGCTACACACATTTGGGATAATGCGCGAAATACGTAATTTTCGATGTTTCGTATATTAGTTAGGACACAAAAAAGCATCGAGAATCTCGACGCTTTTTTGTGTCCCTGAAAATTTTCGACTCACGTATTTTCGACGCTTTTTAGCAGCGTCGAGAATTAATTTTTCGACGGCTTTTAGCGTCGAAAAAAGCCTTAAAAAGCGTCCAGAAAACACGCTTTTTGTAGTAGTGGGTGTCATAAATGGCACCCATTTGATGTGCGTTTAGGTTTTTATTACCTTCTTTTCATGGCTTTCATTCTTAATAAATTCTTAGTTTTATGCTTTTGGTGTTAGTCTTACCTTCCCTCTCTTATTTTGTAGTATTTGTGCATTTCTATGGTTTTTCTAGTCTTTTCTCCTTTATTTGCTCTATTTTTGTGGTTGTAGGTATTGTACGAGGTTTAGGTCTTGATGTTGGTGATTAACTAAGGTGGAGGAAGCTTTTGAAGCAAGCTCATGGCAATTGGAAAGCTCAAGATGCAAGGAAGTGGAAATTCCAGTCTTAGCTCTTGCGCTCTCATGAATATGGGGTGTTGAACCCACCATCATGGTGTTTAGGGACTTCCTACCTTAGTGTTTATCATCATCATAATTGTGCGACCTTAGCGAACGCACGAAGCAGCGAGAAAGTTGGAGAAACCCAAAGATGCGCGGGGGCGCGTAGCACGGGTGCGGGTGCGCAGCCCATGTGCGCGGGCGCGCCACCCCTGCTCGCGCGCCGCCGTACCTCTCTGGGTACTTCCTTGCTCGGTTTTTGTTCGCGCCTCCTATATATACCTTTGTAACCAGATTTTTAAACAAGTTTTTGGAGAAGCTTCATTTTAGATTTTGATCATAATTTTAGCTTAGTTGAGAGCTTCACTCTCTAGTTTTAGGGTTAGTTAAGGAGTAGATTTTAGAGAGAGAAAAGTGAGGAATTTCAATGGTGATTGAGAGATTGAAGATTCAATGGTGACAATTATGTTGGAGATCTTTTCTATTATCAATGAGCATTCTAAGCTCTATCTCATTTTATTGCATTGTTTAATTTCATATTTGTTCTAGTTCGATTTTGATGTTTGATCGTTGATTAGTGTAGTTGTTCTTCATATATTGTTGATTCTTGGTTTATTTAGTTGTTTGTTGATTAGATGATGAAATTAGTGTAGTTGTTTGCTAGGAATTGGGTGAAACTTGTATGATTGATTGAATGTGCTTAATTTGGGGATTGTGTTGATTAATTGTTGAGATTAAAGTGATTAATGGATGTTTGCATGTGTGTAATTCGATTAGGCCTGGAAAGTTATGCTAGATTGCATTGTAGTTTTTAATGGTATGAACCATTGATTTAGGAATTGCAATTGTCGATTGAGCTTGATTAGTGATGCTCCTAGTTAGAGTCTTTCGTAGTTGGTGCTAGTTTAACCTCTTGGAGATAGCTTGTTGTCTCTTTTGATTGAGCTTGCCATTAGTTTTCACAACCATTGACTTGCATGTATTTCCGAGTTCCTACAATTGTCATGACTACTTGTTTATCCCCGTTCCTAGTGCTTTATTTTGTTTGGTTTCTTTGTTTGTTAGTTGTTAGTGTTCTCCTTTTATCTTTGTCTTCGACCTAGCTTAGGCACATAATTGTGAGCGCTTGAACATTACCGCTCTTTTGGGGACCCTTGACATGCCTCTATATTAGTATATAGGTTTGTTAAGTGTTTATAAATTTTGTTTGATCGAGGGAGGATTAGTTTCAACGACCTAGTTCCACCCCTCGTCAAAATGGCTCCATTGCCGGGGAACGGTGTCTATGTTTGAGTGTTTTTGATTGCTTGAGTCTAGTTCTTTGTATATACTTTTCTTTTATTTGATTTTTGTTTGCTTTGTAAAGAATGGCATGTTTCTCATTTCTTCAATATGACAATGAGCCTTTTTGTGAATATTTCCATAGACTTGAGGGATTTATTGACTATAATCATCGTAGTATTTGAGAGGCTTGTGAGATTTGTTATTTTGGTTTGAATGAACAAACTAGGGATATAGTTGAAGGAATGCATAATGGTAAATTTAGAGCATTTTCTATCGATGATGCTTGGGATTTTTATGTTTGGTTTGCTTGGGAAGTCTATAATAAGGGTAATAGTGCTTCTAATTTTGATGTGCAGTGTGTTAATTCTTCTAATGCTAGCATGATTTCCCATGATATGTCACGTGATCCCATAGTTGAACCTAGAACAAATGCTTTCGATTCTATTTCCTCTTTTATTCATGATAATGATGTGTATTCTGAAGTTAACAAATCACATAAGTCTGATTGTGCCCCTACCCCCTAATGTGATGTATATGCTCATGTTTTTAATGTTTATTCTTCCAATCTTTGTTATACTTCTTCTTCTTTTGTTGAGCCTCAATATTATACATCTTTTGAATCTCTTAATTCTTATTAAGAATCTCTAATGGAGGAGAGAAGAAGGGTTGGTGAACAGCTAGAATGCCAAATATCACTCTTGACGCTTGCTTGTAAAAATTCCAAATCCAATGTGTGTGTTGAGATTGATGATAATGATATTAACGAGCAACCAAGAGTGTGTGAGAGTCCTATTAATGAGCATATGAGTGAAGGAAAGGGAGTCGAGAGTGATGATGATTTTGATGATATTTTGAATCTTGACATCTATTCCTTTGTTGATTGTGATGAGTCTCAAGTGTATGTATGTGACTATTCTACCCATGAGTATATGGACTTGTTTGAGGTTATGTCCAATGTGTTTATTGAGTGTCAAAGGAATACCCATAGCCTTTTAACTAAGTTCATTGAGAATGCTTCATGGGAGAGAGATGATTTTGAAATGAATTTACATCCATTCATGCATGGTTATGAGACTTTGGGCTTTAAGGAAGTTGAGGGAGTTGTTGTTCATGAATGTAGTGGAGGAGATTATGTTATTCCTCTTGGATGTTGGATGTTTGAGGGAGATGATGATCATGAGTGTTCTTCCTTTGAAGATTCTATGATTGATATTTTTGCCCTCATTGGCGATGTGGTACCTTGTGGTGAGGGAGTAGCTACCCCTTTCCCTTTTCTCATACCCCTTTTTTCAAGTGGATTCAACCATATCCCTTACACGCCTATTTCTCTCCCTTCTTTTGTCAATAAGCCTATTGGGGACCCCCTTGTCTATGATGATTTTAATGTCCCTCATTTGTCTATTATTGAGGAAAAGGGTGATATTGCCACCAAAAAATATTATGAGGAGAGTTTGCCATCTTTTTCTTTTTCTTCTTATTTTGTTGACTTTTCTTTTGATTCTTCTTCCTTCTCTTGGCATCTCTCACCTCATAGGTGTACACTAAGCTTGTTGCATGCCTTATTTTTGTCATGTGCACACTTACTTTCTTATGAAATGGGTAATAGTGCATTTGACAAGATTTTACGTTTGTTGCAATATTATTTTACTAGAGCAGTCAAGCTTGGACCTTAAGCAAGCCTTTCTTGAGAAGTAACCCGTGCTTTAGATTAGATTTTCATTTTCTTTTTAGAATAGATTTTCTCTTATGGAAACGTCTATGTGCCTTTTGCTAGGTACATGACTTGATATACTTTGATGCTTCAATTTGGATCAAGAATCAAGGAAGGTTGAATCCTATTTTTGCTAGCATATGGAAACAAGGTTCAATTCTTGGAAAATTAGCTTTGAAAGGTTTAATTGGGTCATTTGCGGGTATTTACACCCACCTAATATCCGGTAATATCCTTCCTTGCTCTTTCTCAAGTGGATGATGACTTGTTAGATATATGTTGGTTTGTTGGATTTCTCTCCTTGATTTCCCCTCCCATGGTTTCTATGATTTATGTTTGAGTGTATTGTCTCATTCAAGTTTGGGGGAGGGTATTCTATCATGTTTGATGGGATGTTGATTCACATATGCTATGCACCTTTGTATATGCTTTTCCATGTTCTTATATTTTGAAAAAATCCAAAAAGATTTTTGTTTCTATCAAGGCAAATTTGCAATGTATCTTTGTTTTGTTCTTGCTTTGGACATAATACTTTTGGACTTGTATAATGGAATGCTTTTCTTCTTAAATGGTAACGGTGTGAACGGTTTGAGAGTATGCTTGGTTGATTCAAGGATAAAGCATGCTAAGGTAGTTGGTTAGAACTAGTGGGACCATGAAACCGGATTCTACTTGTCTGTGGCATGTTGGTAGTTGCTTCCTATAGTCGA